TAATTATTAAGTATATGTAAAAATAAATCTTGTCTGAAAATAGTTTATTGCGTGTTTCATAGTAAGAATAACTTACTATTGACAAAATATTTACATGAAAGAAATACGCAATATAGTTTCATACCAATAAAAATACAGTATTCGTTCGTTCACCTTGAAAATTGTTTTTCTATTTTTACTTTATTGATTTTCTTTTTCTATATTAAGGTTTTATTCAAATTTATATAATTATACCTTCTCCTTTTTTAATATATTTAATTCATTCATCTGATAATAATCTATTACGTAGAATCATATCTTCAATAATGTTATTAATAAATATGTATACTCAATGAATCTTATATAAACGATGTCTGCGGCTTTTTTCCTTATCATAAATTGTTATTCGCTTACATAAAAGTATATCTACAAAAATGATTTCGTATATTGTTGTATTGGCTATGATTTTAACCATAGGCCATATTGAAAGTAAGATGGAAAAGATAAATTGATAAATATTATTATTTGTTATTATTATTATTATAGTTGTCAATGGATTAAATTGTACTGCCAACGAAAAACAAGTTCAATGTGCTCCACAACTTTCTTGTCAGCCATCTTGCAAGGAACTGAAAGGAACAATATGTCCACGTATGTGTGCTATACCAGCATGTGTATGTATTGATGGTTTTGTACGTGATAGCAATTTGAACTGTGTTAATAAGACAGAATGTCATACACGTATGTAAATAATATTCATATAGATATAATTTATTTTCTCATTTTATTTCAGGAACAGCCCGAGCTGCTGAATCAGTATGTGGTAATAATGAAGAACAACATCCTTGTGTACCGGCTATATCATGTCAGCAATCGTGTGATAAACCACAAGGAACAGATTGTATAAAAATGTGTAGCAAACTTCCTTGTATGTGTAAGTCAGGTTTTATTCGTGCATCGACGACTAATCACACATGTATTAATAAAACCGAATGTCAAGGATGTATGTATATAATTTCATTTTTTTTCCTTTCAATTAATTTTTGCTTTCCGTTTAATAGAAATGCCGATTGTATCGTTAATTGTGTGTAAAAACGATTATTCTCGAACCTCGAAAGACATAAACAGTTCATGTAACACATAATTGAATATAATGTTTTTTTACTAAATTTTTTTTCGTAATAAAATATATAAAAACTAAATGATTTTATTCTTAATATAAATAAGTAAATGAACGGATAAAATTTATATATGAATACTAAGTAGTGACATCTTATTATAATAAAAGGATTTCGTACGAAATTTCTTCCAATCAAATAAATATGAAACGAAAAAACAAGACGCACAATACAATTCGTTCTAATTTGAAGTAAATCTAGTTGATTCAAAATGAATAATTCATCATTTCAAATATGTACGATATGTGTTGAAGAAAATATTGTTAAACCAAAATTAGGTATACATCCATGTCATGGATGCCAATTTTCATTTTGTTTAATACATTTAACAAAACATCGACAAGAACTTTTACAAAAACTTGATTCAATTATAATGCAAAGAGATGAAATATTTGCAACTATATTTAATAATTTAAATATCAGTAATGATAATATTAAAAAATCATTGAAAGATATTGATGAATGGGAAACAAAGATGCATGAAGAAGTGTAAGTATATAAAATTCATTTTATATCTTTAGATGAAAATAGATATACTTTATAACAAGTAACGCTCGTCTAGAAACTTGCTCAGCTCTTTCTCGTAGAAATGATGTGTCTTAACCATCAGTAAACTACTTATTCAAACAATTTCGAAAAATAACAGAAGACTCGAGTTCCTCGATCCGCATAACCCTTCGGTCAGTCCTTATAAAAAAATAGTCCTTTGTGTAAAAAAATTCTAAAAAACTAACATCAGATTCGAGTTACTCGATCTCGATTACCCTTTAGTCGAACTTTTTAAGGAAGAATCCATTTTATTTTTTGAGCAATCATCGAAGTGTGGACACACAATTAAGCAATCAGACAATTTATGTTTACTGAACTCTTCTCTAAGAAAAAGAGAATAGACGAAAATAGATAAAAAAAATAAACTGAATCTTATTTTGCAGTTGGTCTAACCCTTTCAAGGGTGATATGCAATACTAGTTTCTGCAAGCTCCCATAACTATAATAAATTAGGAATAGTGACTCTGATAGAAAGAACGATAAATCGCCCGTGGAAAGGTTAATAGGAATAAACATAAGTTAAATACAATCTACCTTGCAAGCATTCAAACTGCGACTACGCCCATTATCGAATCCGATATTGGACATAACCTTAGTCTGGACGGTGTAGTCTATTGAATGTAAAAATCTTAATCTGTAAGTTCAATCTACATTTGTTTTTCTTTGATAGACATGAAATTGCTGAACAAAATCGTGATAGAATTCGATTAGAATATAGCAAACAATTCAATGAACTAAAAGATCGATATGCTCTATTTACTAAAGAATTAATAGATAAACGTGATAATGATGATTTTTTTGAATATGATATTGAACAATTATCTATTAAATTAGAACAATTTAAACAAGAAGTATATGAAATTAATATTAATCTTCAATTAAATCATTTAGATTGGTCTCGATTAATTCATATTAATGCACAAGAAGAATCGCCGATATCCTCCTATTTAAATAATTCAAAATTATTATTTGAACGACAAGTAATTTCATTACATGATCGAAATTGTTTTTTTCTTGCTGCATCTAATACATATATCTTAGCTTATATATTAAGTATTAATCGAAATGAAAATCGTCTTGTACTTTATAGTACATTAAATGGAAATGAACTTTGTTCAACTGAACTTGATATTCGACTTGGTAATGTTTGTGATATGATTTATGTTGATAAACTCAATCATTGTTTTCTTGTTGTATGTAGACAAGCAATTCTTATCTATGAACCTGAACAAATGATTTTAACAAATCTATCTGATATAAAACCAATTGATGAACATCCATTTTGGTCAATTGCTATATCATATAATACAAATGATGCTTTTATTAGTTTAGATAGTAATGGTTATATTGAACGATGGTCAATAGAAACTCATCCGAATTGGGTATTAATTAAACGTTGGAATATAAATGAAATTTTACGAAATATTGATCAAGGTATTCGAATGATTCGAATATGTGAAAAGACAGATCAATTAGCAATTGTTATACTTCAACAAAATCGATATTGGCGTATTGATTTATATGATTTTAATTTACAATTAATTCATTATGGTCGAGAATTAATACTTTCAAATGATATTGATAAATTTAGTTTTGGTTGTCGTCTTATAATTTTACCAGATAATGAAACATGGTTATTAACCGAACGAACAACTCATTCATTATGGTATGCCAATGATTCAATAATAAAACAAATTGATAAACATGTTCATAGTGCATGTTTAATCATTAATAATAATAATCAACAACGAAAAATTGTTGTTAGTTACAGTAACGATCCGAAACGAATTGAAATATTTAATCTCTAAATTTTCATATCTATAGATCTGAATTTTGCTTAATATTTTTTCTAGATGATAAAAGATTGATCAATGAAGCGTTTGTCTTCACTCTTAGATCAAACATCAATAAATAATGATGATAATAAAATATATCAAGAATCTGATGCAAAAAGGTTTCAACAATCAACGTTTTCTTCCACATATGATTATGAAGAAAAAAATATTCGATATGAACGACCAACGACGACAACAGATCAACGCGTTGTACGGCAAGATTTGCTCTGCTTTTTGCTTGGTATTTTTTTCTTCTTTGTAACATGAGAAAATCAGAAAACGTGAGGACCATGTCTAAAGTGAATTGATCCCTACAATAGCAGCGTAACCAAGGGCGGGCATAACTGGGCGCTGCCCAACCACCGCTTATTTTTTAAGGGTGTGGATGTGGTCTCTGAAGAAAATAATACCCACACCCACACTCTCAAAATACCCTTTGGGAAAATCCTTAGAGCGCCGCCCAACCACTCGTCATATCCTGGTTACGCCACTACCCTACAAGTCTAGAATCGAGATTTCAATTGTAAGATAATTCTCTGTATACATAGATGAAGTCTATAGCTATATAAGACAATCGTCATATTTAAAAAAAATTAAATTTTATCAGTAATTGATGCTTAGCGCTTATTATGAAAGAAAACATATTAAAATTTATTTATAGGGAAACAAAACTTCACAATGGTCACCACGTTATTCCGAAATTCTTGGTTCATTTGGTGAACCGCCAACATATGTTGTACATTTTTGTGATTCACATTTAACATTCTTACAAAGTTTTCAAGTATGTTCATTATTTGGTCGAATTCGTATTCATGGATATAATCTTCGTCCATTAATATATTATTCAGTTTATAATTATCGTACAAATAGTCCACTTTCAATTGAATTTATTTCACAAATAAAATATCCATCTCAACAAGATATAAATTTGTTCATTCCCGATATGCAAATATCGGAAAATATTATCTTTAAAGTTAATGAGAAAGGTGGCGATGTGTTATTAATACGAAAAGAACCAAAAAATGATTCATTATTTATAAAAATTATTCGTGAACATCGAATGTATAGTAATTGGTTTCTAGAAAAATATTTATGTTTTCAAGGAGGTAGATGGGCACACTTAGATCATGATCTTCATATTCGTTTAATTGAAACAACATATGAAACAACTGTTAATCCTAGTGAAGAATTCATTACAAAAACTAATCATGTTATTAGACGATGGATAAATGAAACAACAGAAGGTAAAGATTTCTTATTAATTTTTCGATTCTAAATAAAATTTCTTATTTAGATCTTCCATTTGTTGTTTTAATTTGTGGTGAAAAAGATTTAGGCAAATCAACATTTACCCGTTACCTTATTAATCGTGCTCTTAATCATGTTAATCCAGTTTATAATGTATCCTATTTCGATTGTGATATTGGTCAATGTGAATTTACTATAGGTGGATGTGTATCATATAGTAATCTTAATTCACCATTATTCGGTCCACCTTGTTCTCATATACAATCAAATACAAAACCGAATCGTCTTCTTTACTATGGTCTTGTTTCACCACAAACATCACCTGTTTATTATTTACAATGTATTGATAAATTAAGACAATTATGGAATATTGATCATAAGAAAAATCCTAATCGATCGATGGTCGTCATCAATACAATGGGCTGGGGAACTGGTAAACACAAAACAGAGTGGTATGAGATATTACTCTGGCAATGAACGAAAAAAATTAAATTTCTTTCATTGATAAATTAATTATGTATTGAGAGATAGTAACATTAGTGAACGTTCAGTTCGCGAAATTCTTGACAGGAGAAAAATGTAATAATGCTATCTTCTGTCCGTAAACTCAACATATTTTACGATTGATATTGTTCGATAAATTGATCATCTTTCTTTCTAGGTCTTGGCCTTGAATTACTCAAAGAGATATTATGTATGTGTTGCCCAAATGTTGTTATTCAATTATCAGATAATATGACTCCATCTCAAGATCCAAATCGAATGCCTGATATGACACTTGAATGGTTATTCAATCAGCGAGTTTTTGAACCTTATCGAGTAAAGATGCAAACTAAACTTTTTGATTTCTGATTTATTTTTTTGTTTGTATATTTTAGCGTGCATTACAAATGAATAATAAACGTCACCATGATTATGATGGACAATTAAATTATGAATATATCAAATTACAATCAACAACTGCACATGCAGCTCATAGGTAAATATATTCTCGTGTAGAAATAATTAAATATAACTTTTTTTTAGTCATAAACAAAAATTACGTCCACGTGATCATCGTCTTCTTGCGACATGGTCTTATTTTTTCTCATCAAAACTTTCACGTATTTATCTTCCATGGTCGCAATATATTCACCTATCTTTACTTGATAAAAAAGATCCTAATACATTACCTGATAGTCTCGAAAAATCGATTATAGCATTTTGTTCAACTGAAAATATTGAAGAAGTAAAATTTAATTTAAATCTTTCGAATAAAATATTAAATCTAATATAAAATTCTAGTTACAACAATTAGCAATCTCAATCAATGGAATACATCACATACCAAATCATCATAATCAAATTTTTGAATGTTTAGGTTTTGGTATGATAAAAAAACAAAACAAACTTAAATCCTTAATATATATGATTTTTCTAATTTATATCTAGGTTGGATTGAACGTTGTAATAATGAAACACAAATCCTTGAAATTTATACTCCAATTGATAATTTATCAACTACGAATATTCTTGTTTCGGGTGCATTTGATATACCGGATGAATTTCAATATATGTTTAAACAAGTTTAGGATAGTTGTTCGCACAGGCATTTTGATATTTGAATGAATGGAGGGAAGCAGTACACTCACATCTAGCCCCGCGCGAGCAAGTGTACTTTCGAGCTACTATCCGTTTATTGAATAGATGTTTTCTTTTTGTGATATATAAATAAAAGATTAATAGGAATAATTCTCATGTTTATCACACTGTTTTATTTAGTTGTCAGATTGAATACGATCCGAAGGATTAGAATTAAAAATTGAGATTATGCAGTATATGCTAATCGTTAAATATAAAGAAATTTAAAATTATTGATTTTTGTTTTTATTTTAATACAAGGCAAAAAAAAAATAAAAAATAAACTCGTGATTATAGATAATAAAACGAAATATTCTTGATTAAATAAAGGCGAATGAGTCTTCAGCAAAATTAACTCTTAACTCCAATTGATATCAATCTGAAGAAGGTTTTAATTAACTAAATATTGGTCGATTTTTAAGATTTTCATGTACATCAAGAATCTCATAATCAACATCATCTAAAGTTGGATTTTGTAATGGTTGACTACGGCCACCTATGCTTGTTGCTGATGAACTAAAATAAATATATATATAATTTAAAACCTTTTTATATAAAACGATTTTCTGTTAATCTTACCTTCCATCATCATAAAATAAATCTCGAGCTTTAAGTGCTGCTATATCTGCTTGATGTACAACTGATGGAATAGCTTCAGAAGCTGATGATCTTGGATCTGTAAAACATAGATGATATGTTAATAATTGTAATTCATCAGCAGTAAAACCAATTTCATCCAAAATAACATGATAAAGTGATGGATGATTCACACCTTGAAATGCATTATGCGAATTTAAATAAAAATTATTCTGATACGGATGAACAATTGTTGTATCAACAACAGCACCAATTGATATGTTTTTTGTTTCTTGAGTTTTATCATTATAATGAAAATATCGTGTATTATGATGTTTTTTAACTACAAGAAAAGTTAATTGTGGATGATTGGATCGATCAGTACCATAAATAACTACAATTAGAATATAAAATGAAAAGTAAAGTATACGTATCATTTACTTACCATCAAAAGCTTGACGAATTGCAGGAATTTCATGTGCAATCAATTTTCCGAATTGACCATCATCAACTCCTATTTATATAAATTTTGTTTCATTAAATACAAAAGTAAATAACTTACCATCTCGATAAAAGACAATTTTATTCGGTAAAATTTTATTTGCTTGTTGGTTATAATATAATAATTGTTCAACCATATCTTTTAATCCAAGTATTGTTTCAATTGAACATTTGCCGACTTTCGGATATTGTCGACAAACACGGACAGCTGTTGTGGAGCATAATGGATCACCAGAACCGACAACAGCTAGAAAAATAGATCCAATATTATTTTTAATAATCAATTAAACAATTTACCTGCTATGGATGGATGTTGACGAGTTACATTTGTTGGATGAATAACATCCGCACCAAAAAACATATATGAATCATTTAGAGATTTTTTACATTTCAATGCTTCATTTAAATTCACTTTTGTATTAATACCGGAATTTTTAAAATTTATTTTTCGAAGTAAATTTTCGCAATAAGTTGTCAGTGAACGATTAGCAGCTATTTTGGAAAAAACGGCACATTGTGTCATAATACCTATATAAAAAATTTTTATTAATAAATTTATTTTTATAAACTACAAATTAACTTACCATATTCAATTGTTCCGCAATCTTTAATATAAGCTTTAAGTTGTTTAAGATCATCATCGTTTCTTGCACTCATAACACATACAACAAATTCACAGCCTTTTTCGCTCATTGCGCGGAAATACGCTTTGATTTGATCAATATTAGGTTCAACAACGTATTTCTGATGTCTGACATTGACGTGATAAGTTTTCATCACCTAAAATTATGACAAAATTATTTAGAATTTCATTCAAAAAAAAAGAAATCATACATTTAATAAAGTTTGAATAAAAGTATCCATTGTACCATTATCTTGTTTAGAATTTGTACCAAAATAGGTAATAGCCAATTTCGAAATTGGTTTTGGTGTAAATAAATGCCCATCTAAAGGAATACGACCAATTCGAATATTGGCCGTACTATTTGGACCTGTTTGAATTTGTGGTTGACTTAATAACCGTGCATTAACTTGTAACATTTCTTTATCATCAATTTGAAATTCAACTTCACGACAAAGACGATTCGAAGTTAAATTATAATCACATTGACGAATTACATTCATAATAGCATCGTAACGTTCGTTTGGCTTGGGAATATATTTCCGAGGTCCTTGTCCTTCTTGTACTTTAGACAACTATAATATAAATAAAATTATATTCGTAATTATTTTCTAATGTAAACTTACCAATTTATCATAAACTTGCCATGCTTTAATTCGACAAATTTCTACAGGTAAATGACAAGGCTTGTGATATTCATTAGGTAGATAAACTTGAATACATGGGTAATTTGTCATTGTTAATGTAATACTTTTTGCATCGTGATAATATTGAATTAATGTTTGACCTGATTCAATTTTAATATCACCAGGTCGTTTATTAATAAATTGATCAATTTCATAAGTTTGTTTCCAATTTGATTGTTGTGTAACAACAAGACAATTTTTTAGTATTCGATTTAATTTTTTACATTCATTTTCATTTGGTATACGATTTCCTCCAATCTGCATATGAATAAAATCAAGCAGTGGCATTTCAGGATAAAATGTTGTTAATTTTGTTTGAACATTTAATGTTATACGACCTGATGCAAGATTAAGGGCTTGTACAAAACCAAGTCGTTCTACAAATCCACCAGTTAATGTTTTAGCCTTTTGATTAACAAAATAACACGTATTGTTAACGACTTGAATTTGATTTTGAAGTGATTTTTTCAAGAGTGTTTCCAATATTCGTACGGCATCATATGGATATTCATGTGCTTGATTATTAATATAACCATAAATATCATTTGTTGACCATTGATTACCTAATGATTTAATATTAAGTCGACTTTGTCCATCTGCACTTGTAAATAATTTTGGTGTTTGTATAATTGATGTGCTGTATAAACATTTTTGTTCATCATACCATACAATAACTTCTGGAGGAAATATACCAGTTGATATCATTGATTGCATAATCAGTGCACATCGAGAGCGACCTTTAACTTCATACCATTCTTTTGACTTAAACCCCATTTCTTCGATAGCTACATCATATTGATATAGAGGAAGATTTTTAGCAAATTGGCAGGTGAAGTGATTTGCATAAAGATGTTCCAGTCGAACCAAAGAACCAGCTGGTATAGGTACAGGTACAGGTCGACGTGGAAGTGAAGAAAGCGTGAGCTTTGCAGAGGGAATTGCAGATGAAACTGGAATTCGTTGTGAGCGAATATAATTCTGTTGAGAATTTGAAGCCATAATAATAAATAAGATTGAATAAACTAAAATATTATAAAAATAATACTTGGTTTTTTCCAACACAACAAAGAAAAAAGAAAAATTGTAACTTACTGTGTAATATTCGAGTTTTGAAATAAACGTTGACGTGAATTACAGTGAGATGTTGACGGTCCTTTTATATGATGAAACTGGTGGGTTTTTCTAAAGATGAGACAGTAATTCTCTTGCTTAGTGTTAAGCGACATCTTGATGACTCAAACTTTCGTTATTGAGTAATTATGATAAGAAAAAAAATTTTATGAGTCAAAAAGGTTGTTACTAATAACAACTGAGTATCTTATTCTACGTATTTTATTTTTATTGGTTAGAAAATAAACCATTAAAATCCAGTATTTTTTGAGTCATATTATCTGGGAAAATCGCGAACCCAACTATTGCCTCTCATTTGATTTTAATGGAATATGTAATACCTTTTAATAATAGCTATTTGTTTAATACAAATATTATGAGAGATGGAACATGTCTGGCAATCGAGAGAAACTGTTCCGCTTCAAGAAGAAATCCTTTATCCTTCAAAAGGCAATGGGAAATCCTTTTTCGACCGAAATCAAAATAATTCGGAGTGCAAATGTTCATCCATATCTTCACTCATTAGGCGGCATGGAAAACACATAGAGAGATATAGATCCTTGTATATTTACACTCTAAGAAAATTGTGCTAGGATATATGCTTTTTTCCCAGTACAAATAAATAATAATATGAAGTGATTCATTCATATTTGCACTCATAAGAAGACATGAAAGAGACATAGATAGATAAAGATCACTGTATTTTTTCCCTTTAAGAAAATATATTAGCAGATATGAATTTTTATCAGTTGAAATGATTAAATAATAAAATGAAATGATTCATTCATCCATATCTCCGCTCTAAAAAAGACATGGAAGAGACATAGAGAGATAAAAGTCATTTTATTTGTTCACTCCAAGTAGATAAGGTTTTTTTCCCAGTACAAATGAATGAGTAATAATATGAAATGATTCATCCACATCTCCACTCATAATGAGAAATACAACTTGAAAAAAGCAATTTCTCTCTAAATGAAAACATCCATATCGTATTGAAGTAGATATTAACTGTAATTATTTTCACGTTTGCATCATTCCTTTTGGAAAAAAGGATGTCTTATTTGTATGGTTTTGAATAAGACATTAAATAGATATCATTTTCGCTGTTTACCTTTGTAAGGAGTCAGATCAAAACTTATATCTAGTTAATATTTTTTCAATACGAAATTTGAACAATATTAAATTAGTTTTAATGTTCGAACCTATTTCATCATCATCATAAACAAATGATGACGCAATGATTTATTTTTTTTGATTTATATTATTTTCAAAACTAATTGATTTATTACATATGTAACAAAAAATTATATTTTTTTATTTGAATTTCTTTTCGTAATTTTGTTTTTCCTTTGTCAGATAAATTGCAATTAAATAAATGAAGTTTTTTTAATGCACAATTTTGTTTAAACATTTGAATAAAATAATCAATACTAATATCAGTCATATCATTATTTCCTGAAAGATATAAACCTTCTAAATGTATATTATAATATGTAAGAATATATGTTAAATATTTAATTCCATTATCATCAATATGATTCCCGAATAAACAAAGTGTTGTTATTGTTCGATTTGTAATTAACATTTCAGCTAAATATTGTGCACCTTTAGTTGTTATATTATTTCGTGCAAGATAAAGTTCTTTTAATGTTGAATTATTTCTTGAAAGTACACGTGTTAATGCATATACACCACTATCATTTATACAATTATCATTGAGATATAATTTTGTTAATGTTTTATTATTATATAAACCATTTGAAAGTATTAATGCACCTTGAGATGTTATCTGAGCATTCGATAACCAAAGTTCAGTACATTGTTTTTCAATAACTGCTTTTTCAACAATTATTTTCATATCACAATCAGTTAATTGTTGAAATCGTAAATGTATAGATGAATTCAATGGATATTTAGCAATCAATTGTTCTAATTTTGGATTATGATTAGGATCATTTATTGTAGATGATTGATTAGCTTCATTTGTTAAAATTATATAAGGAATAGTACTATCAACATAAGGTAAATCCTAATCGAAGAAATTAAAAGTTAAATTATTTTATTTATCGTATTAGACTTACACAAGATAATTCTGTACTAACAGGTTTTGATTGTAAACGAGCGTATGGTGATTGAATTTCTTTTAATTGTATCCATGAAAGTTTATTTTTTTGTTTAACACATTGTACTATTTGAAATTGTGTCGCAGGTAGAAGCATAAACATATCTGTTGTTGAATAATATGAATGTTTAGTAATATCTTTACTTGAATTACATTCAATAGTAAATATTGTTCGTTGATCTTTTTTACCTAAATATTTATCTGATTGTAATAAATCAAGTGAAGTTGTACATAAAGCAAAATCCAACCATGTTATTGTTTTATTTTTAGAATATTGTTCACGAATATCTAATTTAATACCACGATAAATAATACGATCTGTTGATGGTAAACAATTTAATGCACCTAATAAAAGTTTTAAATAGAGATACCATGGTTTAAGTTTTTCACGATCGTTTGAACGTAAGATTGTATTTAATACGACTGAAAGACATTGATCAAATGGTTGCCATTTTATAGTACATAGCATAATTGATGCTGATTGATCTTGAGTTAAACCATCAGCAGGATTTATACATTTTTGTTTAACTAAATGTACATAAGTTTGTATCGAAGGTAAAATAGATATTAATGGTTCAATAGCTAATTCAAGTGAAACATTTGGTATTTTTTCATAATCTTCAAATGGAATTAAACAATCCGAACGAAGATTTTGTGTATTTTGTTTTGGTTTTTCATTGCATATACCCATCTATGACTTTGTATTTTATTATTCATAATGATTTTTAATTTGCATTTTAAGTTAAAAGGAGTCAGTAAACATGTGTGAACATTGACATTATATTAACCTGTTAAAAATGTGTTATTTCTTTTTCTTTTGATTTTACCAAAGGCAACAAATATAAAGAAAATAACACATCATTTGAAAAAAATTATTTCAACTTCATTATTTGCCTTGATTGATATAAACAAAAAAATAGTTCGAAATCATTAATAATTTTCACACAAATTTATTTTCTTTTCCTTTAGGAACTATTCATTTACATTCCACACATAAAAAAACATAGATAGAGATCGATCATTAAACATATACATAAAAATGTCAGGCGAATCTGTCTATAAAAAGCAAGTGAATGATTTCTTTTTAATGTTTTACTAAAAAGTGCAACAGTCAACTAACTTTGAAAATATTTTCATATAAGTGGTTAAAAGTATGTGTAAAGATAATTATACAGACTATATGAAAATGTTGATATTGAATTCATGATATCAACTTTATTATTAACGCTTTCGGGTCTATAGTACGATTTTTTCAAGTATCTTAATTGATGAATAACTTGCGGAGAGAAGTTCTCTTGATGATATAGAGGAAGCATTCGTGCAGAAATAGTAGCGTAACCAGGATTTTACTCCACGGCGAGTTGAGCTTCATGCTTACCAGGATTTTGCCTTAGGGAAGTTCAACTTCATACTTTTTTAATCAATAGTTTCTAACAGTCTGGGAGAATCTCAAAATTTCCTAGGGGGACCTGAGCTCCCCGGTCGTTACGCCACTATGCAGAAATCTATATATAAATTATAGCCTTAATAAGGCCATTCACGTAGTAAGCCGGATAGGCTTTTCGAGAAACATCTGTATTCTAGAAATGAGAAGGACATGAGTACCCAAAGGCTTATTACAGTCAAAAACCAAACGTTTTGGTATTGCTACATGACTAAAATGGTGAACAGTGACCTTCTGGAATTCACAAAATATCTTCGTTTTTTCGTGAAGAACTTAAGTCAAGAGTAACTATTGGTAATATTCTATTACAACAGCACACACTGTCTACATTAAATATAAAATTGATGTATTAAATATGATCAAATTGAAATACTTTTACTTCTCATAATAATTTCTTAAATATAAAAAAACAGTTTTCATTGTCAATGAACGACTTCGTTCTGTATCATGCTTAAAAACTAGCATATATACTGATAATGAATTTTTTTTTGTTGTCTATATAAAACGTTTTACAATAATAAATCAATTGCGGATTTAAAATACATTGTTTGATAGAAATAAAGTTGTTTTTTACTCCACCATGCAAGATTACAATCTTCTAAATTAAGTGTTGTTAATGATGTATTATGTCGAAGTAGATTTGTTATTGAATGTGTAGATAAATCATTAATCGATGAGTTTCCTGCAAGACTTAACCATCGAAGTGTAGAATTATTATTAATTAATACATCAACTAAAATATTCATTCCTTCATAACTTATTCGATTATAAGATAATGTTAATTTAATTAAAGTTTGATTTGTTTTCAACATTTCAGCTATTAATCGAACACCAATATCAGTAATTGAATTATTATTAAGATCAAGTAATTGAAGATGGGAATTTGTTGAAAGTGCATGAGCAATAAATTGAACACCAGAATCACATAGAAGATTATTTCGAAAACTTAATATTTCTAATAATATATCATTATCTAACACAGAAGCGATAATTGAAGCGCTTTCAGATGAAATTTTTTTATTAAATAAATCTAAACATGTACATCGTTGATTAATCAGTAAAGCTTTAACTGCAATTGCAACGTCATGGTTTTGTAAATTTCGTTGTTGTAAATCAATATTTAAATACGGGAAAAATTTACCATGTTTTTCTTCTAAGATTGATTCTAAAATAAAATATTTATTATTTCTATATATATTTGAACTACAATTACTTTGAGAGTCTAATGTCAATGATTGATATGAACATGTAGTTAAATGCGTTGAAAGTTCTTCACGTAATCCAATCCAAGAACAACTATTTTCATTATTTGAACAAGTAATA